GTCTTCCATTTGAGAATTATGGAGGCCACTGTGCTCTTGGGAACCTTCAGTGCAGCAGAACCTTTTTTGTAGCCTTCCCCAGATCTATGCCTTGCAATAATCCTGTCTTTGAGCTCTGCAGGCAGTTCCTTTGACCTCATGGCTTTTGCTCTGGTACAGTACGCATTGTTAGCTGTGCAGCCTTCTATTGAGAGGTGTGTGCCTTTCTAAATCATGTCCAATCAACTTAATTTACCACAGGTGGACTCCAATCAAGGTATAGAAACAGCTCAGCAACAATCAAGAGAAATCGGAGGCACCTGAGCTAAATTTCAAGTGTTGTTGCAAAGGGTTTGAATACTTATGCCAATGTAATATTTTAGTTTTTCCTTTTTAATAAATTTACAGACATTTCTAAAATTCCGTTTTCACTTTGTCATTATGGGGTACTGAGTGTAGATTAATAAGAAAAAAAATGAATTTGAATGATTGTAGTATCAGGCTGCAACATAACAAAATTGAAAAAAGTGAAGGGGGTCTGAATACTTTCCGAATGCACTGTAGTTAAACAACGGAACTCAGTAACTTACAAAGCGCTGATGCCTATCAAGAGGTTAACTTTAGAAGGGGATTCAAAAAAAATGTAATACTATCAATATCTACTAGCCACTGTGGAAACTTAATATTGAAGTCGATGGCCTAGAGGAACAAGGGAAGGAGAGGTTCATTCAAAAATAATTGACTAGTGCCTTGTTTCTCAAGTCTTCGGGCCACAGTAGGCTCACTAATTATTAGCCAGTCTTGGGCACTTCCTCTCACTGTCATCACAGTGTTGGGGGGGGTCTGAAAAATCACAGAGACATATACACACAGAGCAAAGGAAGGTGCAATAGTCATGGGGCAGGTTAATTCTTGCCACTCTGGCAGCATCTTCTACCTGAAAATATCCATATATTGCAATTAGACTTGGAACCAATGTAGGATTCTTAAAGACTGATTCACACCTAGAAAAGCATTTTATCTTTGTTCAGCTGTTTAATGAAAATGCTTTTCTCAAGCTGAGCATTTAGTTTGTAGATTGGATGAGGAGCCCATGGTCTGAATTCAGTTTATATGCTGGGGTTTTCCCATTCTGAGACTAAATATTCTGACCCAGTGGAGGACTATTTCCAAATTTCCTAAATATTTCAGTATTGTAACTAAAACACCTAATGTAACAAATTCACTCCCTGATAACAGGATCCTTTCTATTCCGAAAGTACACTTCCTTCTAATCTGCTTTCAGATTTCCTATTTTATAGCACTGCCCCCAAATACATTATTCTCTGGGACTTCAGAGGAGGTTCTTCTAGGCAAACCCAAGCCTATGGTTTGCACTAGGGAATAGGCTCTTCTTCAAATATCAAAGTTCTGTTGGGAAAAAAAATGTGATCAGAACATGGAACACAGAGTGTTGCCCTACGTAGTTGACTGGTATCTGGGGACATCTTCCCAGTCCTGACGAGCTGAGCAACATAATTAGCAGTACTGAGTGGAGAAGGTGTGTTTGAAAAGGGCTTCACCTGGTGGCCTCATACCGGCTTTTGCAGGAGCAGAATGGTTGGCAACCTTCACATGCTGCTGTAGGAGGTGATGATTAGTTGAAACAGGCACACTGGTTCGGCAATGTTGCTGCTTCCGCTGCTTTTGCTTCAAGGCCTATTAAGAAAGTGAAAGTGATACATTAGACACAAAAGTTTCCTAAGCTGAAAAGTCTATAGTGCAGAATTCCTTGTTCATGAAAGCCTGCAGAGATGGGGAAATGGAAGGCTGACAAGGGTACTGTTCTATTACCAACTATTATATATTGCACTTTACTGAAGATGTGTTTTGTGTCTCCTACTGATTTCTTTTTATATAACAATGAAACAGAAAACTGCAAAATAATTTTGAAAAAAAAATTCCTATCAAATTTGTGAACAACAGACTTTATCTTACTATCAAAGACATTCTCAAATTAATGCTTCTACTAAATATCCAGAAGTGGGGAAATTTTCCTCCTCTGATGCCTCTGAGAAAGAGTAGATACTTGGTGAGATATTTTATCTTCCACTATTGTAAGATTAAAGGATAATCTGATTTTATTACTGATTAATGAGCAGTACCCAAGTAATTACCCCAAGGCATTATCATAATTACAAAGAAGACCTGTCTCAAAACAAAGTATCTTCTACAAAGTACAAACAAATCTAATACATAAAGAAATGGTCAAACCAATTGCTCCAAGGGAATATAAGGAAATAATATAATATTTAATATAGGCTCTGCAACAAATACAAATCATAATTATGATGAAAATTCTCAGTGTCGAGAAGCTATGGAAAGAGAAGGAAAATGTAGCCTAGTATCTAAAATAAAGGAAAAGTATTGCATTGACAGAATAAGACACCCTCCTAACAGAAAAACAACTGCATGCATATTTCTGCAGAGTGCAAAGTAAATGAAGGAAAAAGAAGTCTAGGAGAGATCACAGTCAAAACAGAAAATGTGTTCAAATTTCAAAAGGCAATGAAAAACATTCAGCATATGAAATGAGAAAATATAATTTTATTCAAAATCTTTTTAAAATCTGATTATGTTAAGGAAATAATCATTGTGAAAGAAATGAGAGAATGGGGAAAAAACAGAACAATATGAAGAAAAGGCTAGGGCATTTTGACCCAGAGCAAACACAGTCCCCAGTGGAATACTACCCAAGTGCAGAGAAAAAACATACCAAGCTGATGCATGAAACAAAAAGCAGACAGGGCAACTGAAATTAAGCAATAAATGCACCAAGACAGTTATAACTTAATTTTTATTTTGGAAATAACATGAGAGTCAAGGATAAAGCAAGAATTATTCTTCAGCTGTTTTACAACTGAATGAAACACCAAGTAGCTATCTTTTACTAGCTGATAGCTAGAGCCTAGAGTCCTTTTGAGTCATATATAAAGATTTGTGTTGCAAAGAAATCTGGCTTCCTGGTGGTTGCCCTTTATACAGAAAAGTGATTAAGATTTTATGAAAAAATACTTAGGAAAATTTATCTGTTCTTCCAGGGATGCAGTTTGAATAGAAGCTATGTGTTATTACATATATTCTAGTGAACCTCATCCCTGTATCCATATGCTCAATTATATAGAATTTTTACAAGAGTGTAAATTGGAGCAAGAACACAAAGCAAATTTAAGATAAAGTTAGGTTAGATTTTTAGTGCCAAGTAACATGCAGATAAGCACAAACTAAAGATCAGATAAACAGTTCAGTATGCTCTCCTACTTACTTGTTTAAGTGCCTTTTTGCTGTGCTTCTGAGATGAAGAGATGACTTTACCTGGTGGGATAGAAGGAGATGGGCAGCCTGGCTGAGGGGAGGACACTTGTGAAAGTCTAGCTGATACTGGAGAAGCAAGAACAGAAGATGACAAGTAGATAAACAAGCATGCCACAAATAAAACCATTTGTCGCAAGCATGGAAAACCAGATACCTGGAAATACAATGCTGGAGCTCTGGAATAAACTGTGACTATCCAAGAGTCATACTCCATACTTCTTGATTGCTTGCTCAAGAAATCAAGTCTTGTCGTTCATAAGGGCCCTTTCTGTAAGTAAAGGGTACCATCTGATACCACAATGGAAAATGTCACAGGGCTGGTTTCATCACGAATGGCCCCTCTTAGTTCATGGATGAGCAGTCTCCAGGTGCTCAGGGGCTTATCAATTGGAGGAAGAGGAATGAGAGCTTTAGTGGGAGAGGAAGTGAAGTCATGTAGGTGGGCAGGGCTATGCCAAGTACACTGGAAGAATGAAGATATCTGAGCTTTTTACTAGGTTCCTTTGTCTTTTAAAATGATGTTAATGCTATTTTAGGAATTACATTAAGGCAGAGCGGACAATATTTGAAGGATTGAAAGCCACAATACAGTTTCTTACAGAAATCACAATTACAGAATCACTATCTCATAACAGTCAAAATTTGGGGGACCATTTTTTAGAGGTTTTAAGACAGAAAGCAGCTTCCCAGAGTCAAACCATTTCCATCCCCACCCTTCCAATCTCCCCAACCTCACCCCTAAAATCTGACTGCTGAAATTTGTTCTTGGGGTGCTGCAAATGGGGTGCTGGGGAGCCACGTGCAGGCTGTGGGCTTCTCTCACTGTCCACTGCAGTTACCATATATGTATGTATGTATGAGTATATATACATATTCCATATGTATATATACCCACCCTCAATAGACTGGGATACTGTGCCACTAATTTTCAGCAATAGCAGTCAGGGAAGCTTTAAGAGTTACAGGCTACCTACCTCAGCTCCTTTTTAGAAAGATCTGTTAGACACTGGAAGTGGTGATGTAACTATTACTTTAGGAGAGTAAGAAGCTATTAAGGTTCACAAATCCATCTCCAGAGAATCCTTTAAAATGCTATAAGAGAAATCTTGTGGGCCTCTGACTTTTATCCTTTCTCTATTTTTTCTGCCAGAAATCCTACTGGCATTTCATAAAGTAGCTAAAGCAGTGCTGATTCACGAAACATTTGGTCCTCAGAGTAATTTCAGTCATGGAGCACCTATGAGATTTTTCCTTTACAGTATTAGGGTTTTTAACAAGGTATATGCTGTACACTTCTTTTTTCCTTTATGTGTGTGCCTTTTTTGTATCGAGCCCAGAGTTGTCAACTGGGGAAAGCTATAAATATCATTCATAATTAAACAAATAAACATTGGCAGTAAAGAAGCACATATGCCCTTTATGACAAAAAGCTGGCCTATTACTGTAAAGGAATCCAATGAACCAAAAACAACAACAGAGTCCAGAAAAGATTTGAGAATAAGGTTTAATACTGTCCATGGTTTTAAAGCTTTTTATATGTAAGAGAATTTCCATATTTCCAAGAAGTCCAATGGAATCATATTCCCCTATCATCCACAAGACTCTAAGAAGGCAGAGCCAATGTTTTGAAGTTGTCTATTAGTCACTAGCATTTGGACAGTAGACTGACCAATCACAGAATCACTTGGCCTTAGTTCTTCCCCATTATCATACAGGCTTCTATCTGTTGACTGGTTGCTTACAAAACCTCAGTATTGTAAGTAAGTAACCATAACACACACACACCCCACCAAAACAAACAAACAAAAATAATAATTTCAATCATACATCTCCACTACTTCATTGGTCATTTCTTTGGGAGAACATTCAATCTTCCTTCCTTTCTCCACAGACCCTTCTAAAGAGTAAGACATTCATAGCCCCCCAGAATAATAATAGAGGAGTCAATCACTAGGGATGAGCTGCTCCAGAGAAGAGGGAGTTATCACCAAGAAAACCCACTTCTGTGGGTTGACACTCCCTTGGCATAGGGATCCACAGCAAGATTTCCTCCTTGGATTTCATTGGATGGGCAGATTCCATATAGAATAGGTAGTCTATCAGATATATAAGGTGGTTTGTACCTGGAAGCCAACTGGCAACAAGTCCAGCTCCCATCACTTCTGTTCCAGATACATGGTTAGGGTAAACAACCACCCCTGATTTTTCAATATTTGCACCTCAGATACAAATGTAATATTCAATGAATACTGAAAGGGATCATGGGGTTAACTAAAAAATTCATGGTGATGGACATTAGGTCTCTGAAAAGCTTCAGATCTGGTTGTGTTACTGATGACACAAGCAGGAGTTTACAGAAACTTAAAGAAGCAGTTACTGATAGATAATTCTGTTGAAATTTGATTACCAGGTTACAAAGTGTTATCTAATGCTAGGGAAGCTGTTGACTTTCTGAACTGGTACCTGAAGGAGGATTAACAAATGGAGACTCAATCAAGACAAGACAAAGAATCTCCCGGAGAAGAAAGAGACCAATTCTGGAATAGGTAAAACTGTTGGTGAGCTCTTGCCTGTGGAACCTTATTACATCAAATTGCACATTTGCAAAAGCACATTCTACATATCCTAATAAAATAAATTATTTTTCAGTGTTAAAAAAAGCTTGGTACTTTTCTTAAAAGGTCATAGGGACCTCCCTTCTTTTATTTCATAGACCTGGACCACTCTATTGAAACTGCAAAGCTACAAATGTACTGTGTCCATAGATGTTTGTTATTTCAACCAGCTGATTAACCTCCACTAACCTAGGACTATCTTTCCAAAATATCTAATTTTCTATAGTGCTTTCACCTGTAAGCCCTTTACAGGCTTACAAATGGAGGAGAATCAAAACTGAATCTTCTTATATTGTCCTTTGCTCTTTTCACAGAACACCAGTATAAATCCCAGAGTGTGGACCAAACTCATCATTTGGCTAGCCAGTTCAAATATATTTTGAACTGCATCTTGCAACTAATCATAATACTCCAGTTTCTGTAACATCTGTTCAACAATTAACTCTGTTCATATTTTCTGGTTTGGATTACACTATTTTTGCAACCTTCCGGTTGCATATTTATACATGACTACAAACAATTCCTCTGTGAACTGTCCAAAGACTGTCCATGACCCAGGATCTTCTGGCTGCAAAGGAAGCTGTAAAGCATTTGACTGTCTAGATTCAGAGTTATAGCACCATTAAAACAAACAGCATAGTAAACAAAAGCCTTTCTACTAGTGCAACTTAGAAAATATTAACTTAATTCAGAATTCTGAAATTAGGAAAACTCTCTCTCATGACGGGTGGAATTCATTTTTCAAAATACATGTTCTTTTATAAAACCATCCTGGTTGATCAACTGTAGACTTAACTCAGCCCATATCAGCAACTGACTCAGAAAAAAAATCCACATTTGCATTCTCTCTGTTTTTCCCCCTTCAATGTCAGGTTCAGTTAATGTGAAGCTGTACAAAAAGTTGTTGGCTCTATTAAAGTCCAGCTCTTTAATTACTCAAGCCATAGGTTTTGCCTGGAATCACATACAGAAAGAACCTCCTCTTCCTTCCAATACTGTATGGACAACAAAGTAATTCACTGCAACATATTGTGGGAAAAGTTATCTAAGTTCATTTCAAGGTAGGGAAATGTAGTCTTACCTTGCAAAGGAAGCTCATTTCTGGACATGGTTATGGCAGCCACAGAAAACTTACAGTCTGAATTTGTACCTGCTTTGGGGTCTTGCAAGAACACACACACAGAAATTGCCACCTTAGCTTTTAAACTTCCCCCTGCCCCACGATTGGATAGGCCTAAAAATATGGGGCTTGCCTATGTTGTGTCAATTTCTGCCTTTGCTGTTTCAGAATGCTTTATTTTTGTACATATAAGGAAGTAGGTTGTTGATATGATCTGAAAAGACTTCCTGTTTTGTACGTATATGCATAACAATGATGCCACATTAAGCTAAATCACAAAGCTCAACAGAGCCAGTCCTCTTTCCTGAAAGCAGAAAAAATTCAAAGCTCAGATGCTTCAGTTCCACTTCTTCTCAACAAAGAAATAAACTATTTAAAGAGAGCTCAGGTCTGTTAGGCCTTGGACTATTAGGTCTGCTTCTTGAGCTCTGCTCAAGCACTGGAAATTATGCAAGATTTTAGCTGCATCCAACCACAGACATCCACACTTTTAAGAGCTGTATTACACGTAAAAAGAACAAAAGGGGGGCTGGGGGGAGAAAAGAAAAATTGTAATAGTTCTAAAGGAGCAAAATAACTTTCAAGATTATTTTTGTAACAACACAAGCAAGTGAAGTCACTGAGTATGTTTTCTTTTGAGTTTCTGAATGGAATAAAAGGGGAAATATAGCAATTCTTTTTGCCAGTCTCTCCAGGTTTATACTTCTGTATGTGAAGCCAATTGTACTATAATTTTTGAATTATCAAACCAATATTTGAGAAGTCTCAGTGAACTACACTGATTTTGCACCAAGTGCAGATATTCAAAGGACTCACTAGGGAAATGTACTTTGAGTTTCTTAGAAATTCTGTGTAATTTTTCTAGCAATAAGAACAACTTGTGAGTAGTGGCTACTATGAGCATAATTCCACAAAGCTCACATTACATTTATCTTCACCAGTTTTGAAGGCATCACATATTCTTGGTCAATAATGGAATGGGAAATAAAACTGCCTTTACTTTTTCCTGGAACTTGACATTTAACAGGACTCCTTGTCAACTTGCCAATGGACTAAAAAGATTCAGCTTCTAAAGAAACTCCAAAGAGCAGCCTGTCTGCAATATCTTCTCATGGAGATTTGCAACTAATGAAATATGCTTTTAGAAATTTGGTTTTCATTTTAGCATGGCAAAACCCTAATATGTCTGTTGAAAGATATGCTGCTTGTTTGCCACTAAACCACACTTCAGCTTAACATGCTGTGCAAATGAGTTCTTCGAATTGCTCGTTTTGTGATTATATGTTTTCTAGAAGATTTCTATTTTTTCCCATAAGGTTATGGCAGACCAC